TGTGTTACTTCAACTTAATAAACCCCTTTTTTTTTGCAACGTTCAAGCGATCTCGGACATACAAAGCCACCCCACCCCCCTTCCCGATACTTTTATCTACTTGGAACAATTTAAAACCCTGAATGTGACATTCTGCAGCATGTCCCGACTTTTTTGAATTAAACCACGTCTCATAAGGGGAAATACATCTATGTTACCTGCACTAGCAACTAGTCTCAACTCGTCTACTTATTCCTAGCACTGTGACTATTTGTGTAATAAATTTTTAATGACCCTCCTCTCTCTTTACCCTTCCCGCTCCTTTCTGGTTTTTCCACTAAACCTATTACTGTCCCTTGTCAATTAGTGCCACTGGCTTTCCAATATCCACCTCATTTTGCCTATTACTAGTTCTCCTAGTACTCATGTTACTACCCTGCGACTTCACAGTTTTCCCGCCAAAACCCATACCACTAACTATTCCTATTTAAAGACCTAACAGCTCCCTCCACTGCGTTGCCGTGCTCCCACCCCCACACCTAGATAAGTGAACCCCCCTCCCTGGGATACATGTCATTTCTGCCATAGAAGAGGTCCCAGTTGTCAAAGAATGTTACCGCATTTTCCTTACAGATTTGTCCAGCCAGCAATTGACACCAATTGCTCTGGACAACCATTCATTTCCAACTCCTCTCCTTGGCAAAATGCCACATATGACAGGTTTCCCACCCTTCCTCCTAATTTTCTCTATTGCTGACCTATACCTGCTAATCAGGTTTCCCCACTCCTACGTCTGCCAACATCGTTGCCTCCAGCACTGAGACAGATAATAGGATTGCTCCCATTACCTCTCATGATGTCATCCGACGGCTAACAATATCCCCTTCATCCCAGCCCCCGGAAAACACACTCTTTGCCTCCTACTCCTATCCTTTAAGCAGAATGCCCAACCATGTACCTAATCTGGCTATCCCCCAAAAACAACAATGTTTTTACCTTCCTTGGCGTCGTCCTTTGTGATGTTCTGAGTAGTCGACTCACATTCCGCCAGGTAGCATTACACCACTTGTAGAATTCGCAAGACGTTCTCGATGGGCTTCGTTGGGGTTTCTAGGGATGTCTTACTCACGTCTGGCAATGCTTCTTTGGTGCTCGTTGTGGTATTCACAGTAGAACACTCACATTCGTCAGGTAGCACCGAGAATGAGTTGGAAGTTTCCACCCGGGAGTCTTCTGGTTTCTCGTTGTTTCTGCCTCTCCAACCGTTTTCTTGATCTTCAGCTTGGTTCCATGTTGCCCGGCCACGACCAAGCTCCCCTCTTAACCTGGGACTCACAACAAAGGATTACTATGAATCCTCTTGTTCTCCTCCGTTAATCGCCGTATCTCCATCTTAGCAACTCTGAGCTCTTCTCTCAGCTGCTGGTAAAGTTGCTCAAGAGAGGGCATCCTGGTACAGATTCACAGAGAGCACACAAACAGGTCTTCACAGAGCTAAGTACAAAATCACCACTCAAACGTCTCAGATCTGAGGTCCGGCTTCCTTCCTTGGCTGACGAGTAAGATGCATAAACGCCTGCAAAGTGGCCACGATTATGCACCGGCAGCAAGGTACCCTACTAAGGAGACGGATATTAACAACCATGACACAAGATCCCACCTCTTCACATGGGCTACTCCTGGATTCCTTCGTTTTGTGTGCTGGGGCGGAAGCTGCTGCCTATACAACTACTCCTTGAAAGAATTGTGACCTTCCTGTTTCTGGGTAAACCCTCCACCACCTCCCTGGCGCCCAGATCCAGCCGATGTTTGCATCATGCAGCTACCCATCTCTAAGCGCTCTGCAGTCAAGACACCCCTCAGCAATCATGCTGACACAAACATGGCACTGGGAGAGGGAGGCACATGTGCAGTGTATTTCACAGATGGTTCTTTTCGACCCTGACAGGAAGAGAGCGCAGCTGGACCGTACCACAATGGTCACACACAAGGCTG